TTGAGGCAGAGTCTCACTTTGTTGCCCTGGCTAGAGTGAGTGCCATGGCGTCAGCCTAGCTCACAGCAACCGCACACTCCTGGGCTCAAGTGATCCTTCTGCCTCAGCCTCCACAGTAGCTGGGATTACAGGCATGCGCCACCGACCAAATGTTAACATTTCTCAATTTGATGGTGGAGAGTATATAAAGTTTATTTTATAGCCCTTTAGTTTTCCCGCAGTTTTTAAAATTTTTCATAATTTTAAGTAAATGTTTATGAAACAGAAGGTCTTTAATTAGGTGCAGTTGCCCTCCACGTCCCCAGTTCTACGTCCACAGAATCAACCAACCCCGTATTGAAAACGGTGCGAGGCTTACAATGGTTGAGTATGTACTGAATATGTACAGACTTTTTTCCTTTATTTTTTTCATTATTTCCTTAAAAATACACTGTAACACCTATTTAATAGCATTTACATTGTATTAGGTAATATAAGTTATCTAGAGATGATTAAAAGTATATGGGAGGATGTGTGTAGGTTATATGCAAATATGCCATTTTATATGAGAAACTTGGGCATCCATGGATTTTGGTATCCTCAGGGGTCCCAGAACCAATCCCCTGCAGATACCGAGGGAGGGCTGAATTTCATAAGTATAATGCCATATTACCACTCTTATTGCCCCTGAAACTGTTCTCTTATGAATTCTGTCTCTTTGTGATTGGATACTCTCTGGGCCTCAGTTTCATCATCTGTAATATAAGAGAGGTGAATAGTTGGTCATTTAAGATTCTTTCTAGCTCAGATACTCCAGGTGCCTTCTCTTCCCCTTGTACTCCTCTTCCCCTTTTTAAGGTGCATTTCCTGAATCCAATACCAATCTGTCTTCTTTTTCTCTAAGTCTCCTTTTCTGAAAAGTTACCGGGAAGCATTTGACCAAAGCGTGGTCAGAAATCAAGTTTGCTAAAACCCTAGCAAAGTTTTTTGCGTTTTTGGATTTTTTTTGTTTGTTTGTTTATTTTCTTATGAGTCCTCCAATTTCCATTTAAAATAAAAGTCCTAAATTTTCATCTCTCATCGCTGCCATGGAAGAGGTGTAGGGAGGAGGAGAAGGTGCATAGAAGAGATGCTCCGTGGGAGCAAGGGTGCTGCCGCCTTCTTACCTGGGCAGACAAAAGAGCAGCGCTAACTTAGGGACGGACTAAAACGAGTCCATCATAATTCTTTGTAGGATCTGGGTAGGGCAGTGTGGGTGGAACAAATTGTGCTTCGCAGCTTCGGAGAAGAGCAGTTCTTTGTGTTCCCGGCGTGGGGGGAGAGAGGGGGGCAAAAAGGCGGGGTAGGAGGAGAGAGGGCTGCGCAGATCAGAAACCTCCTGCAGTATCTCTGCATCCGGAGGAAAAGGACATTTGGCTGGGCAAACTCCAGTGGGAAACCGCCCCAGGCTGTGAAAGCCCAGAGATATTGGGGCTGCAGCCCGCCTGGCTCGAGGGGGGCCCAGGGGCACTGGCGGAACCGGCTCCCTCCAGCTGCCTGGCCGCGCCGGACCTCGGGTGTGTGCGAGGTGGCAGAGGAGGAAGGCGGCCAGGTGAGAGCCGGTGCCGGCCCCAGAGGTTTCCACCTGCTCAGGACCACCGCGCAGCCATGGGCTACCAGGGCCGGCAGCCTGTCATCCCGCCGCAGGTAAACTGGCGACTGGGGCAGGCTCTGAAGCCAGTTAATTCACCTTGCAACAGGTCAGCTGCCTTTACCTGGAGTCTTGGTTTAGCACCACGGAAAGTTTCTGGGAGAAAAAGTTTTGCCTTAATCTGACTCCCCCCCTCCTTGGTAGGCACTTTGCAATATAACTCTTTCATTTCACAAAATCACGTCTTTGAGTTCCTAACAGATCCTGCAATCTGGGGTCCCATGCAGCAATTAGAGCAGCTGTAATGGGAACATTTTAGGATGGAATTTGCTTACAAAACTCTGTTGAATTTCTAGCTATTATTGTTATTCTCTATTATTATCTCAGCATTATTTTATTACTATTGACATTACTTATTATTACTAATATCATGTTAATATCCTGCATTGCCTATTTGTCTGCCAATTT